ATATCCGGTTCAATGCTCTCCCTTTATAGCATCCAGTCCCCAAATCCAACAATGAAATTGTAATAAAACCAGCAGACAAAGGTGGAGCTATAGTCATCCTCAGCTGTCAAGAGCACATTAATAAGGCCAACAGACAAGTCCCTGACACCAACTACTATAAAGGATTTGAAGAGGACCCTGCAGCAGTATTCACTCTAGAACTGGAAAATATTATCATATCCTTTCCAAACCAATTTTATGAAAACTACTTCCACTAATTTACAACTCTCTTACCCTGGGAACTTTCTATAGCTCCCAAAGATTCACAGAGAAGGTAACCCTGGGAGACTCGTCATATCCTATTGTGGCACCCTCACTGTAGAGCTATTGGGATTCATACAAACTATCCTGAAACCACTTCTCACCCAAAGCGCAAGTTTTCAACAGGATACTACATGCTTCCTCAACAAAATCCAGAACATCAACCACCTCCCTGTTAAGAAGGCCAGACTTGTCACCATTCTGTGCACTAATATCCCACATGATGAAGGCACAGTTGCCTGCCTGAAATATGTGTGAGAACAGAGAGTACACTCAGATTTGCAACAACGTTTCACCAATCATCCACTTCATCCTAATCCACAATTTCACTTTCAACAGTCACCACTTCCTCCAAACTATGGGCACAGGGATGGGCACAAATGTGGCTCCTCTATGCCAACCTTCTCTTGAGCTACCTGGAGAAAGAATTTCTAGAAAATTGCACCATCAAACCTGGAATATACCTGCATTATATAGATAATGCGTTCATCATCAGGACTGAACATCTGATCAATCACTTATTCATTTCCATCACAGATTTAACAACTATCACCCCTTGATCAAAACTTTCTCTGGAATACTCGAACACTAATATCAACTTTCTAGATGCCACAGTCCATATCCGGGATGGCTTCCTACAAACAACCATATGCAAACAACTCATAGACTAACATACCTGTCCACAAAACTACCAATCATCTCAAGCACACCAAAAAGCTGTGATCTACAGTGAGGCCCTCAGATACCATAACAAAAATCTTTGCCTCTTCCATAAGTTACTTTAATGTATTTTTAAAATACCTTATTCAAGTCATTTAGGCTTGAATAATTCTCTGTTATATAGCCCAGACTACATTCTAAAGTGATAATTAGGCACCAAGTGTTTATAGGATTATTATGGAGATTTCTCCTGACAGCCATTTAACACCTAATTAGGTGCTAAGGTTGTAACTTTGGGTTTCACAGCAGCATTAGGGTCCTATTAAAATTTTTAAAAGTCATAAGGTATCAGATAGACTTTATAACTTTTCCCTACTGTGATGCAGTCAAGGAGGCTTAAATGAATCACACAGGTTAAAAAACAAAAATCATGAACATGCCAGGCAGGATACACCATTTCTGGGATGGGACATAAAATTCCTTAGATTTGAATCGTATGACTGCCAGGGTGTACAGCTGGGGATCAGGGAACTCCCCAGTTTCTCAGCTGCACATGATTTTTAAAGGTTCATGGCACTCTTTCAGGTTGCCAGTGTAAAGGGAGCCTGGCAGCAGGACTCCAGTCTCTGATGCTGGTTCCCAGGGCACTGTCAAGTTGAAAGGTGAGTCTTTCAATGAGCAGAGGGCATCTGTGTCCCAGGCTCTAATCCTTCCCCCCACCCAATCCTGATAATCAACTGATTGTTGGGCTCAAGCAGGGGATAGTCTCAAGTTCAGGACATATGCTACTTGTTCAACTTATGGCACAATACAAACCAGCTGCAAAAATGTTTCACATTTAATTTAGAACAACTTAGATTCATAGATTCATAGAAGTTTGGGTTAGAAGGGACCTTAGCAAATTGTCCAGTCCGACTGCCTGCCTTGGGCAGCAAAGAGCACTAGGGTTAGATGACCCCATCCAGGTGCATGTCCAGCCTCCTCTTAAAGACCTCTAAGGTAGGGGAGAGCACCAACAGCCTTGGAAGCCCATTCCAGATTCTGGCAACCCTTACCATAAAGAAGTTCTTCCTGATGTCCAACCTAAATCTGTTCTCCATCAACCTAAATCTGCTGTCCATCTGCTCTCCATCTGCTCTTCAACTAGGCCATTGTTCCTAGTTACTCCAAGGGATGCCCTGGTAAACAGAGCATCTCCTGTTCCTTGCTGATGAATTTGTAGGTGGCCACAAGGTCACCTTTCATTCTTCTCTTGTGGAGACTGAAGAGATCTTGGTCCCTCAATCTTTCCTCGCAGGGCTTTGCCTGCAGGCTCCTAACCATACAAGTGGCCCTCCTCTGAACCCTCCTCTGAACTTTGTGGTTGATTTGCCATTTTTCTGCACCATAAATTGGCTGAATATGTGGCATGTTACAATTTATCACACAATCAACATTTTAATCACATGATAGGTCAGCCAGGGCCTGGGATTGTGAAATGTCCAGCTGTGATAAATGTAGGGTATTTGCCTGGCCTGGAATATCAAGACCAGTTTCCTGTGTGTGCTGGCATCCATTTACTCAAAGATTCCTAAAATCACCACTTCAAAACCTCACACATTGATACAAGGCACAACCTACATTTTCATTTTTAAAAATATAATTAAACCTGAACAGCCTTGTGTTATCTTCCCAGATTGGAGGCAGCCTCTTTAGTTTAACTCTTAAATTATAGAGTTGATCCTACTGATTTGTTTTGGCGGGGGGGTTTGCTAACATTAACTGTTTGTTTTGTTGATCATTTTAGCTAAAACATCCATCTTATGTTGCTGGTTATGATAGACATCAGTCATAGAATCTTAGGACTGTAAGTGGCCTAAGTGATATCTAATCTAACTTCTTACACCAGTGCAGGATTTGTTTTTTCTAAACCATCCCAGGTAGATTCCTGTCCACTTTGTCCTTGAAAAAGAGCTGTTACGTCAGTGACTTGTGACTCTTGAGCTACCCTGGCTTCTCTACCTGAGAGAGTGGTAGGAAAGAATAGTGAGAACTCCCATGAGCTTTTAATGAGTGGCTCATGTGGCCTCCAGCCAAAGAAAATTTGGGGAAGGCTCATTCTCCAGATAGAGTATAAAACTAAAACATGCTCTAGAAGAATCTGGGGAGAATCTATTCTAAATGAGTGTGAAGCCAGCGTGTGCAATTCAGTAGACAACCGAATATTATATAAATATGAAACTTTTTTTTTTCATTTTGGAAGGAAGAAACACTGTGCTTGCAACTGACAGAGGAATAGAAAAGACTGAGGCAGTTAATGATGGTACTTTATACTCCACTTGGATTTACATTAAAATGAGACAATCCATGGATGTAGATGTCTGCCATTCATTAAAAAAATATAATTTCAGCCTTAAGCATAACCTGAATGGTACCCTTGCTAGGAACAAAAGTAATCATAGAGTTTCCTCAAAGACAGCGAAGAATAATAAAATACCAGCTCTCAGCCTAAAAAGTTGCATGTACACAACATTTTGCTCATAGACATGCTTACAAAAACAATAAAAAATCACAACATTGTGCCTGAATATGCCTTAAAATTTGATGTATACATGAATGATGGTAAAATATATATTCATACAGATATATACATAGGCATCTTAAGTCTCATCCATTCTTTTTTTCCTAAGGGAAAAGCATGTGTTAGATAACTTGAGGTAAAATCCTAGCAAGGAAGAGAGAGTTTATAGTTTTGAAATAATGTAACAGGTTAAAAACCTTGAGTTAAGCCTGCTTGGGAGTTATCCAAACAGGGAGCAGAAACAGTACTATGTGGCTCAGATGGCCAGCTATACATAAAAAAAAAAGAATCTAGATCAACAAATAACTGAAGCAACGATTATGGGGAATATTTTAAGAGAAATGTGTTAGCCTGAATATGTTTGCTGAAAGAGTTGTGAGTGTATTCATCAAAATCACTATCTTTTTTATCCAGAATTTGTTGAATAAACTATTTGGCATGAAGCGTTCACCCAATTCCTTTCTGGGAGATACCTGTTGGATATTAAGCATTATCTTCTCTTTCTGTATATGCATTTGAACACTATAATGATGCAACTTATTAAAGATTCCCTTCCTTCCTCTCTTTCTCCCTCCCTCTCTCTCTCTTTTGTATGTTTGCAAGAGGGAGGCGATATGTCATTCTGTGGTGGGTACTTCATGGTTTGGCTTCTTTTCCTTTAACAGAGAACATACAGAGCTATGTATGACTACAGTGCTCAAGATGAAGATGAAGTTTCCTTCAGGGATGGTGACTATATCGTCAATGTGCAACCGATTGATGATGGCTGGATGTATGGTACTGTTCAGAGAACTGGGAAAACAGGAATGCTTCCAGCAAATTATATTGAGTTTGTTAACTAGTTTTTGTCTCTAGTCCTTTAAGCTTTACTCAAAACTTAACCTTTTAAAAAAATCAGAGAAAACTTTTATGACCACACACTCATTACTTTGTCACTGTTATAACAGTCCACATTCACAAACATAAACCAACATACTGGTCCTTTACTGAAAAAAAAATCAACAAGAAGCTTTGAGCTTGAAAACAGCATTGCTTAATAATAATGCTCTCTAAAAGCATCATGTGGAAGACTGGTGTTGCTAATCACGTAAAGGTTTCTGTCAATTAATTGTGAAGGAGAAATGTCTTTCCCATAGATACAAAGAGGTTCTTTCTCTTTTAAACATAACCATTAAATGGATTCTTTTCTTATATCACTTTGCAGTTACAAGAAACTTAATACTCTTAGTTTAATAACACTTTCTAATAATGTGAAAGCTCTTTAACATTTGAGCAGTTAATATGTGAATTAAAATGATAAATCAACAATTTTAAATAATGGCGGGTAACATACTGGTAGAAGTCCTACTGCCCAGCAGCCTTATACGTAACTTGAAAGTCTGCTTTGACAGTGAAAAATTCTCAACTCCCACTTGCCCACACAATTTCATTCATTGCTGGATCTTCCATTTGCTCTCATTCATGACTGTGACCTTCCCTTCTGTCAGTTTGGCTTGCTACCTAATTCATCAGTTGTGACTGTTCCTTGATTCATGGCATATTGGTATCTTCTACACAGAACATTTCCCATAGACACTATCCAGAGTGCAAAACCTAATTGCCACCTCTTCTATTTCCCTTTAATAATACTTAGCATTTGGATAGCAGCTTCCATTAAAGCATTGTACATGCAATAATTCACTTCACTTCCTTTATCCTTCTCTGTATTACTGCTGTAAATAGCCAGGCTGGGGCCCACATGACATGTGGCAACATGAAACACACAGCTACATTCCTTGTTCTAACAAGTGACTAACTTAATGGCAACTTCGCTGACAAGCTGATATACCCACCTCTGCTGCATCTCCATAAACAAGTTGAGAGGAGCTCTTATTTTGTACTGAATTTCAGTCCAATGGCATACACCTTCAGTTTCTTCCAAAACTTTGTCTCTGTATATGTGAAGCCATTTGGTTATCCCAAAATGGGCTATACCCATACAAAATGATTAATGAAAGACAAATGTAATTGACCTCTGCTGATGCTCCCGCTAGCACCACAGGAATGCTAAGCATACAACTATTCTACCAGTTCTGTTCCACCTTCCTTCTTTACCTAAGGATAAAAAAGGAAAGCTATCAGCTGGGTTTTTTTCAGGTATTTTTTATCCTTAAATCTAACAGAACCCTTCATTCCTGCATAAAAAATCTTCAGATTTTGGTTTCAGTACTAAACTGTAAATATTATTGTCCCAAATTTTATGCAACTTCATTACTTCTCTTCTGCTTTACACTACATTCAGACCAAGCTAAAGGAGAAAAACAGTACCAGCTGCAATCTTTCTGGCTTCGATTTTCTAAGGCATTATCAGGACACTATCTAGAATGCAGCCATATTGCAGACATTCTGATTTTGTTCCTGATAAACTGTAAGCTATTTTTTCCAGTGCTCCTTCAGCTTGGGGTCAGGATTGAAGGATTCATTGGTATCTCATTAGTCAGATGCAACAGGTGAGATGCTTTATCACTGAAGTTCCAGGCCTGAGAAGAGAAACATAGTGTCAGACACTCCATCACAAAGCTCCATTGACTTTAACTGGACTCCTCTTGGATGCTTTGTTCCTGTCATGTTGTTTTCCTTACAGGATTCGCCTAAGTCAGAGGGAGGACAAAATCCTGTAAACCTTCATGGGGAATGTGTATATGTGTGTTTAAGGAACACATATGGTTGTTTTTTTTATTCTGATGGTTCATAAATTCTCATGTATTCAGACATGAGTTAAAAATACTAGCCAGAGAGCTGCCATTTGAAATTTGGCAGGTGTGCCAGTGATCTTGTATGCATTAGATTTACAAAATAGAGACTAAGTTATACTATATTTTTTGAGAGTTTTATATTTCTGGTTTCACAAAGTCACCAAGCCGGCACTATTTCATTTAACAGAAATGAAGGAAAGCAGTAAGTATTCATGATGGGAGAAACCCCCCCCAAAACAAACAACAGCCACCCCCACCCCCTCACCACAAAACCCTGTTAGTGCTAGACAGCTGCCAGCTCTGCTTTGCATAATATTTAAAAATAACAAGTTCCTGCAATTCCACTGGATAGTTGAGTAGGGGGCCTATCCAAAGCTGGCAGACAGAGAACAATAACTTTCAATGATTATGTTTAAAAAATATAGTAGTGAGTCCATAAATATTGAAAAGTAAGTGGGGTGCCTATATTTTCTTGTCAGAGAACTCATTTTAAGGATGATGCTTTTAGGGTTCAGGAGCATGTCCTGAGGTGGTTAAAACCAGGAAAAATAACTTGGTAAGGATGGAACTTTTTTGTTCCATAGATAAGCCTGAGTCTGCAACTACACTGTGCTTTTAATATTCTGTGGAAGACTGTGAGTTTTGCTTAGGGAGCAGCTGCAGCCACAGGCCCTTATCCTTTATCGTTGACTTCCATAACAAATTGGCTAGCTTTGCAAGTCAAACAACTTCTTTCAAGCTGCTGATACTTTAAGCCAAGCCTAAAAGCTTTCTGAAAAGCAGTCTGGTTTTGCATCAGCTATAATCACAAGTCTTCAACAACAGATACGAAAATCACACTTTATGATGGTTGGCAATTTTTTCTGATGATGTCTGAGGTAGAACTGGATATCACTTGCTGTTGTGCTGCTATATTAGCTTTGTAGTGCTGACAACAGTAAAAATAAGTTGTCAGTGTGCTAAGCAGATATAAATAAAAAGATGCATAAGGTACAGATATATATAGTATCAAGTTGCTGTTTTTAGTGTCTTAAAAAAAAGCCCATAATCACACTAGCATTCTTCACATTAGCTTGGAAGATAAATATTTAGTATTGAACTCTGTATGTATGTTAAAAAGGAAATTCAGAAATAAATATTTTATGAAATTAGAAGACTATGTTATGCTAAGCAGTGGAAATAAAATTATCTTTTTGAATTTTGAATATTCTATAGCCTGGCAAAGTATTTAAAGCAATTTCCAAAATAAAAAAGGTCAAGAAAACAAAACAGTATGTGAATCATATTTCTCTTGAGAATGGTATATCATCATAATTACTGATTTCTGTTTAAAATAATGAATGTTTAGCATTTCTCGTAGTGAAATCTTTTACTAATTCATGTTCATTTAGCTTTTATTTTAATATACAACAAACTAAATTCTCATTACAGAGCACTGTTATTAGCAGAGTTTCTCATTACTCAGAATGAGTGTGCCCAGTTAGCAAAATCTTTTGACACCAAAATATTTTCTCTACAAAATCTCACCTGAACACCCAAAATTTGCAAGCTGTTTCTTACAAGGAGTTTCTTAGGCCATGCTAGTATGCAGTGGAATGTCAGGATAGTTCAGTGCAAAATACTGCTTTTTCATCCTTAAAATAGCCAACAAGCAGGGATAGTGCAAATCTAGTTCTAGTTTAACAGTGTTTCAACATTACTCTTTGTCTGTTGCTTACATAGACACATCTCACTGGAGAAGGAAAGGACCTGTCTAAAGAGGCAGTTTGCTGAAAAATTCTATACTTGGGAGTTCATTCATCTCTAAGGACATATCTACATGTCGCCTGTTGGAAGTAGTAATGCACGGCGCAGTACAGGTGGTTACTGCACCATGCATGTGGCACACAGGTAAATTTTGCCACTGTGTCACTGTAATGGCATGCTACACCTGGCGCTACACACACGATCACTACATCGCCATAGCATGCTGTACAGCAACATAGCACATCGCATATGTAGACGTGCCCTAAGGGTTGCAAAAAGAAGGGCACTATAATATGCTATTTTTCTTTATGGACACATATAAAGGTAACATAGTAAATAAGATAAAAATACACATAAACATACAAAAAACAAGTGGGTGCCTTGTGGCTCATTATCTTAGTTGCCCATTTACTTGCCCATCTTTTTTTTTTTCCCTAAAGAAAGCTAGAGATACTTCAGCTGTCATAATCCAGTACAGAAGATTAGTATTTAATTGATGAAATGGGATTCTCGTGATTACATTTGATATACTACACACCATTTAAACTGATCAGGTTTTTACAGGAAATCATCAATACATTATATTCTTGATAAATACATCTCTTCTAAGATATCCTTGGGGATATAGAAGGCCTCAAGCACTGAGGATGACATTAATTTTAGTTTTTATGGTACAATGACTACACATCACCTTATGTTATAAAATAGTCAAAAACACAAAGTGGCAGAATGTGGAATGAGAAATAAAATCTGTTAGACTTTAAGTGTTTTGAATAGCATTCTCCATTAAATATGGAGCAAGCTTTAGTGGCTAAATATTTAAATTGTGTCCTAAAAAGGGCAACAGATGCTATCTAATGGTAGATCTCCAGACTACTGCATACACCTGAGTGTTTTGTGCTGGCAGAGGCAAAATTGCTGGTGTGAGTTAAAAGAATAAAGCATTCTGCAATGCTTATGCTGTAGGAACCCCCAGCTCCAAATCGCTCTCTGGAAGAAAACTTGTAGCTATTTTCCTTCCTTACCTTCCTGCACTACAACCGTATACTGAAAGGAATTCATATGCTTTTTTGTGTCTGTTACATAGAGTTTACATATTGTACTTAAGTTGTAATCCGGTTGCTGTTGAAACTCTTTTTTTTTTAATTTTAGGGGGAAAAGTAAGTTATACTGTAGCATTACAATCATGTGTACTTAGTATTACATATTACAAGTTGCTAGGCCAACAGAAAGCAGCACTGACTGTATTAATATTGATTAGCATGATGTGGAAACACTCTCAGCTGTTGGTTTTTGCAATGTGATATAAAAAGCAAAAATGAACCGCTCTGCAGTTTGGCATATATTTGCTTTAAAGTGTGTAAAGTTCTAGTTATTTTGCAAAAATGTACTTTATTTGGGAATATGCCGTTATGAAGGAAATGTTTGTTTTTTTTTCAAAGGATGGGAATTATTACCGGATTCTTTGCTGTATTGCTTTAATTTGGCTTTTGTTATGCAAAAAGTTAACACCAGCTATTAAAATATATTTTAGTAGAAATGCTTTAATTCCTGTTTTTTCCCCTCTACACTGTGAATCTTTAAGCCTTGGTGGACTAGAGCAACATCATGCTGCCCAAGCTACTAACCTATGCAAACTAGTTCACATTTTAGTTGTCACAGTGGATGTAACATAAAAATTTATTTTGCATAACATGATATGGCATTCAAATAAAATAGTAAACCCAGCATTATGTATGTACTATATTAATAAACAACATGCTTCAAAGCTACCATACCCATTAATATAGTTTATAAGAGTTAAGTATTTATTTCTTTAACCAAGGATGCTTTACTTTTTTCAGACATAAATGGAAAATATGCCATAAATATGGCTGAAATCTGGTTACCAGACGTGTTTTCCTAAAATAGCATTTTATTTCAGAAATGCACTCTTTTTAGGCAATGAATATGCTTTCTTCAGACTGTATTTGTAACCCATCAATAGCACATTCATTTCACATTTCATCTCCCTTGGTTTGCTTAAATAAATATAGGTAATAAGTAAATGGAGTCCTCTGATTTTACTCATATTGGTTTACTGTTCTTTGACTTATCAGTTGGTTAGGCATGTTTTTATTACAGCATATCACTAACCAAAATAAATTGAATTCCTGGCTTCTTTATGGTAATTCCCATTAAATCAAACCAAGTGTCTTTGCTCAGTTTAATTTACTTATACTAGTAAATTTCTTTAAAAAAATCCAAAAATACTTTTTATTAAAATAAATCACAATATATGATATATTTGGAACTGCTAATAATATACAGTAATAGATTACCTTTGCCTAATTGTGTATTACTTATTTCCGTAATAAATGTGCAGCCCCATCCTCTGCAAGAGAATCTTTTAATTTTTAGCAACTATTATTCTGAAGAAGGGGAAGAATATAAAATTCTATTAGCTACGGATGAATACAAATGAAACACACAAATAGAGAGTAGATGGCCAAGTCCAGCTAAGTAATACATTTCCCACTCTGTAGCATTTCTTGATAGGAACATATGTTACAGTTTTCTGTGAAGTTTCATTATATATAATACATTGATTGCTCACTCTATAATGTTTTTGTATATTAGACATGTCCCTGCTACAGCCTTTTATACTGTAGCAAACATCAGTTTTTAATATGAGCTGCCAAAATAAACTTCTAGTCAAAGTGCATTTTACTTGCAAATCCTTCTGTTAAAGCAGCTGGAACACCAGATTTTCTGTCTCTGTCCTAAATATATCCATCAGGCAAAGGTTCTCATCCTGAGAAATGTTGATGTTAAGTCAGTGGAATTCATCAGAGATGCTCAGCATCTCAATACTTTAAATATTAAGAATGGTTTTACAAGTATTTGTGCTAATACAAAATGGAAGAAGAAAGAAAGAAGCTGGTTCTATAAAAGACAGGAACCAAGGAAAAATTAAAACAGAGACATGTATATATACCCTCACACTCCATAGTTCAAGGGATTTGTACCAATGCCTTATAACCGCCAACTACTGCGGTTATAAGGCATTGGTAGAAAGTCCTCTGGTAATATGGGTGGCTTTAATAATGGGCATCCAAGGAAACAATGAAGACAGGAAGAACTGAAATTTCTTCATTCCAATTATTTATTACAACTGCTATTGCTGTTAAAAAAAGGCATGATTTTTTAAAAATATAGGATTTGATTCAGCAAAAAACCTTTAAGTGTGTGCTGATAGCAATGGGGCTTTAGCACATGCCTAATGGTTTGCTAAATAGGAATAAGCTTAAGCCAAGACTTGGGGGTACAGGAGAAATGACTCTTAGCAAATTTTTCATTCATTTTTTTATTGTTTGGGGCCTTGCCCAAAATTTAGTTCTTGGTGTTTCTGTGCAGCTGTCACAGTGAACAGTCTGGCTGCATCAGTATGAAGCTCAACAGAGGCTAAATTACCCTCCTAAAAAGCTGAAAGGTAATTTTGTGACTCCAGGGGTACTCAGTCTCCCAATATGTTAGAAGCTGTTTTTTTAAAATTCTCTATCTGTGGAAAGTATAGAGAAAATGGGATTATGAAAAGGAGGGGGGTGCCTCAGAGGGCAACCAGTGCTGCAGTGGTGGCTGCAATCTTCCTAGCTCCAAGCCCCCACAAGTTAATCTGTGCCACAACTGCTTCCAGCTTCAGCTGCTCTCCCAGGTTGTGCACGATACTCAGGCCACAGTTAGACATGCTGGTGCCCTCAGCTCCCTGCCATTTCAGGTGCAATCAGCAAAGACCTTCTATGCCTGAAGAAGGGTGATTGCACTCAAAGGCTTGCAAATAACTCAGTTGATCTAATAAAAGATATCTCATCTACCCAAAGAACCTTGCCTGCCAATCTTTCTCATACCTTTTAATAGCAAAGAATTCAAAATTAATTCTACAGGGAATTAAAATGTATGCTGCAGGAAAATCCCTACTGATTTCAATTTAGTTTAGCTTCTCAATGCAGGAGATGCATTAAAAAATTTACAATGCTGGTATTACATACACCGCTATGTTTTCCCAAAGGGAACTGAACACTAATGAGGGTATAGAAACTAAAAGTCAAATAACAACTGACTATATGATCAAGGATTAATAACATGTTATAAAATTATTGTACAGTAACTAATCAAAATGAATGGATTTTCCCCCCATTTAGAAACATTTGTATACAAGCAAACTAAAATACTGGCCTAAAACATAAATTTCAGTTTTTTATTTATGTATTTGTATAATCAGTTTATTCATTCTGTCACTCTGGAGTGTTGCTTGTCGGTACTGGTTTAGGCCAGTGGCACTTAGGCTGTGTGTGCACATTCAGATAATTTGGGAGAATTCTCCCGGGTTTGTTCTCAGTAGAAGAGCTTATCCAGAGCCTCATGTACAGACATTCAAATGCTGAGGCCCTCAAGAGTGAAGAGCTTGCAGGGCTGACACTATGCAGCCAGTGGGGGCCTCTGTGCCCATGTCTCAATGTGCTTTGCAGGCTCCCTTAGTCTGCCTGGTGACAGATGGCAGCAGTGAATAGGGCAGCTCTGATCAGCTGACCCAGACTGTCCATGGTCAGCCTGTGTTTCCTTGCAGCACAATGTGGGGATTATGAAGGAAGTATGTTCTGCTCCCTGCTGGAGCAGCAAAGTCTAGTGAGTGACACTGTCTCCCTGGGGGGAGGGGGCGTGTTGGGTGGCTGCAGAAGAGGGGATTGGTGAAGGACTATGTTCTCTTGAGAGAGAAGCCACTGCATGTACAGACATTTGCTTTCCCAGGAGTTCTTTAACTCTGGTTCCCTGGTTATTTTTCTCCTGGGGTGGCCATATTTACTCTGGGAGCCTGAACATCTGTACAATTGTGGTTTCTCCTTGGAGAACAGGAAATCTCCCAGGATAAACTGAATGTCTATATGTTGCCTTAGTTTTGATTAGGTCAAAGATCACATGATCACTCACTGATAACCAACAAAATACACACTCCATGGTGGCAAATAAATGTGGCAAACAGTCCCGTTTGAAAGAGACATTAAAGTACTCTATTTACTCAACTACAAGACAAGGTTTTCCCTTCCAATCAGCAAAATAAAAGACCCTCATCCTATATTCACTTACAATAAAACTTCATTCAATATATTGCCTGTCATTAAGCTGCTGCCAAAAGCAGCATGTGCTCAGTAATGGAAACCAACTATGATGTTGATTGAATAGAAACCACACTGAGCATGCCTGTGAAACACATGGCTCAATTAGGCAAAGATACCAATGGGAACCTAATACAAAGCTAGGTTAGTGCAGTCTATCTGATTAAGATACAGTGGGGCCATTGTGTTTTGTCCCCATCAGCAACAATTATTTTCAACTCCTGGTGGACCACTACACTGAATACATTTTGCCGTCTCTTCACTCTCACAGCTGAGCATCACCTTTTATTTTCTGTTTCCAATGATTCCTGTGTATTCATCAGACCTAAATGTATAGCAAACATCATGAGCAGGCAGCGTTCTTTGGGTAAATGTGATGCCTTTTATTAGACCAACGAAATATTTGGAAACATTGTTCTTTGCAAGCTTTCAGGCACAAACACCCTTCTTCAGGCACAGGGAGAGCTGGATGGTGTTTTGTGTGCTGTTCTGGGTGAAATAGAAGTCATAATGCAAAATGCAGGTCTGTGAAATTGCAAGTTCATAGCAGTGAAGATGAGAGGGAATGGGAGACAATAGGGGTGAGACAGGTACATGGGAGTTGGGGGAAGAGGGGAATGTTGAACTGGTGATAGGATGTAGCTGGCAAAGTGCAGACAGGTTACGTGGAGTTATCAGATGTTACGTGGGTTATAATGTGCCATAAATCCAATGTTTATATTGAGTCCATGATTTTTTGTATCCAGTAGATTTATGAAGTGAAGTTTGTAGACTTCTCTATGCAAGCTGTTAGAACTGAGAGATGGAAAGACAGTGGTTGTCTTGTGAGAAGTGTGCACCAACCTCATCACCAGAAGCAAACTTCCTATGACCCAAACCACACCAAATGGATCCAGACAATGCTGGGACAAGAAATATAAAACCTGCCAATGCATCTCCAACACTCCTACTATAACCACACCCCGCAACAGAAGCATCACTATTCCTGGATCTTACACCTGCACCTCCTGAAATGTAATATATCTCCTCCAGTGCACCAAATGCCCTGATGGAAAATATGTAGGAGAAGCCAAACAACAACTGTGTACCAGAATGAACACGCACCAAAAATCTATCAAAGACAAAAATATCCAATTACCTCTGGGTGGACACTTCTCACAAGACAACTGCTGTCTCTCCAGTCTTTCAGTTCCAATCCTTAAAAGGAATTTACCTTTTGTAGATAAGCCCATGAACTTTACTTCATAAATCTATGTCATTAAACATCTATGTAGATGGGAGGCTCTGTCCACCCTTCTCTCTCTCCATCACATGTGATTGGTATGGCCCCACCTTCCATGACAGAGCTAGAACAGGCAGCCCCACACCTCATCTGCATATAATTTCTGGAGGATCTGAAGACTTATGAGAACACCTGTTCCAGTTACAAGTGGGGGGCTAATTAGCACATGGAGTGTGTGTGTGGTGGGGGTAATCTGGAGTACACGCACATACTGAGCAGTGTGGGCCTGTGGGGTCACCATGGCTTGAAATGGTGTTGACTCTGCTGAATCCCAGCCCAATGAACTACATGATAAATCATTGGCCTTTTGGCTTTGGACTAGTATCATGCATTGTTTGTACTTTGTATAAGCAGGTACAAACGTTGTGTTCAAAAGTGTGTTTATGGCGTACCTATGCTGAAACCGGCATCAGTTTGTGAAAAAAGGTAAGATGTATCAATTCTGGATGAACTAAACCTATGGGCATCTGTAGAAATTTGCCTATATGAAAAGTACTACAGGTATGTTTATTTCAAAGTCAGTGTTTTTTGGCCCTGTATGTTTCAAATTTGCCTCATACTTTCATGTGTTCTGGGAGGGAACAGAGCCTGAGCAG